CACGGCAACATGTTGACTCAGGATCCCTGGCATTGCGAGGATGAATATGGATGAAAAAAATTCTGGAAGGGATGCTAAATACAAATATTTATACAATAAAGATTTGCACCTAAGTGTATGGCACGCCAAATTCACAAAAATGAGATAAACCTAGTTTCACAATTGATAAACTAGGTTTATCGACTGTAAACTATAGTTTACATACCGTATACTATAGTTAACGATTCGTTAAGTATAGTTTTCATCTGTAAAACTATATTTAACGGTTGTTAACTATAGTTTACAAATGATAATCTAAGTTTATCGGTCTGTAATAAGCGTTAACAATAGATTTTGTTGATAAACATAGATTCACGTTTGTAAACTATAGTTTACAATCGTAAACTATAGTTAAGAGTTGTTAATCATAGTTTCACAAATCGTGAAACTATATTTATCAGATCGTTAACTATAGTTAACGGTTTGTAAACTATAGTTTACAAATCGTGAAACTGTATTTATCAGATAATCTATGTTTTGCAATCGCAAATGATTGTTTTCAGTGTTAAGTATAGTTTACGGTTGTGAAACAGAGATTATCGCGTTAACTATGGTTTACGGATGTAAAATATAGATTAACGTTGTTAACTATAGTTTACAGTCCGTAAACTATAGTTTACAACCGATAAACCTAGTTTATCGATTGTGAAACTATGATTTGCTCATTTTTGTGAATTTGGCGTGCCATATAAGTGATCATATATCAATTTACAAAAGATGATATAATGAACTTGGAACAATACTTTTAAAGATTTCAATCTCAGACCAAAAAAAAAGAATGAATATGCACGCATGTTTGACTGTTGCAACATTTTACAAATGTACGTAAGAAGGAGCATGTATTCCTTTAGACATTAAATTAAATAACCAATAATTCATTTATTTTTCAATGATTTTCTTTTTTGTAAAATGGATAGGGAATTGATCATTGTAATTATTTCTTTACCTTGATTTTGTTTTATTGTATTGTTTCTTCATAAAACACTGTGAATCACTTTCTCCTCCTTGTGATTTGTCAAGAAGAATTTCAAACTAATATCAACATAAGTCATAATTTTTCCTTGGAACTTTTTGTTTTTATCTATTTATTTATTTTTTATTTATTTTCCTTTTTACAGTGTGTTATTATAATGTGAAGATTTTGAATACTAACGGCACTAGTTGTACAGAAACGTGTCAGAAAAACCCATTTAATAATCAGTCATCAAATCCATGGACTGCAAATGAAACACAGGGGATTTGTTACCTTAAAACTCTGAAAAATAAAAAAGAAGGAGTCAGAGCTTTCTGCAACGAAACTGAGGCCAAAAACTACTTTCCAAGAGTAATTGCCTCTCAGGAATATTTTGAGTAAGTTATCAACTTTATTTGAAAGCTTTTTAATCATAGCAATTGAAATTACCTTATTGTTTAAAGATATAGAATATGTGCAATGCATATACAAATTTTTATTAAATAAATGTACAAAATATTGAGCTGCTTATGCTCTATAATTATGATCCAATTTTAAAAAATTTCTTTGAAGCTGCTATGTGACAGAATTCTGGGTATAGCATAATTATGTACATTCTTTAAACTTGGATGAAGTTCGCATTGGCAGTTGGTTCTGTGTTATATGGCGTAATAAACGAAAATAAATTCGTGTATTAGCTTGTAAAAGCATACAAATATAAAAGTAAAACAAAATAAATTAAAAACTATGCAAAAAACTTTGAATTTTAATGAGCTTTACAATATTTTTAAAATTTCATAGCGTTAAATAAAATTAATCATTTTTTAGAATTTCTTTCGTGCAAATAACTATTAAAGTTTTGGAATTATAATTTCTTTATTTTCCGTTTAAGGTTGTGTATTTCACTGCAACATTTCCATACCTTGTTCTCGTGATACTGTTAATTCGGGGTTTATTGTTGGAGGGAAGCGAAAAAGGAATCCATTTCTACTTAACGCCAATTTTATCTAAGCTATCGGAAGCACAGGTTTATAACCTTTTAAATGTATTTAATTGAGTTAGCTATTCATTTGGCATTTTCTTTTTAGTTACTTGCAGAGCATGGCGAGCATCTTAACGATCTTTTCCTCAGAAAAAATTATTTTATTTTATTCATGACACAGAAATACAAACTGTATTTCTGTGTACCGCAGATAGAAATATGATTGTTTGTCTAGCAATAAGATTTTGACTTTGGGAGTCAATCCTACATTTTTATGTCTCACACATTTTTCTCCTTGAAAAAATACTGTCATTGGGTTAATTGACTTCAATTTCATATAGGCCTTTGTATTTCCTGCTATCAATCTATAGTTGACTTGGAATACAAATGTCTATAAAACAAGTAACCATTGGAACTCTATAATATCTGAAGATGCCCCCTTAATGCAAAGGGAGTCATCACTGAAAGACTAATTAATTTTTTTATACAAACAAAAATACTTATAATATATTTAGAAGACTGTCAATGGTCTCACTAGACATAATCAATAACATGTATAATATTTATTAGGTATGGAAAGACGCCGCTGTTCAGATTTTCTTCTCTCTGATCTGCTCAAAGCTGAAGGATGCACAAGTAAAAGAATAAAACTTTATGAAAATCAGGTAACCATGATAATCAGTATGTTTATAAATAAATCTTAATTTTATTTTTGAATAACAAATTGTTTGTAAAACTATAACAATCGGCAAAAAGGAAAAAGCTTTTTTAGCATATAGGTCACAGTCAAGGTCACAAGGTCATTGACCTTGATGTCAACAAAAGAAATGATATATGCATATTTACGTCAGCTAAATTGTATATTGTCATAATGTTTCAGGTATGGAAAGACGCCGCTGTTCAAATTTTCTTTTCTCTGTCAGCCTCTCAGGGTGGACTCATAGCTCTGGCTAGTTATAATGAATTCCACAACGACGTCATCAGGTAAGAATTAGTCTTCATTTGATGTAGAAATTTCCACGATCATAGGGTGGAATGTAAATTCAGTGTATTCATAAAAACTACAAAAGGAATTATGTTTTAGAAATCCATGTTAAATCGTGGAGAATACTAGGAATAGTTGGTATTCCAACATTAATGACTTCAATTTTAAACTTTATTCTATCTTTAGTTCCATAGGCATTTTGATACCTACATACTCCTCAATTGTTCATCCCGCAATGATACTGAACATTTACAATCATCTTTTACAAAACTTCTAGAGAAACCCTACATTGCTTTTTATTTTCAGAGACACAATGATTGTTGGTTTTGGGAATTGTCTAACCAGTATTTTTGCTGGCTTTGTAATTTTCTCTTACCTGGGACATCTTTCGTATATACTGGGCGTTCCTGTGGATGAAGTTGCTACGAGCGGACCTTCCTTGGCCTTCGTTGTCTACCCTTTCGCTGTCACGCAACTTCCGATTGCTCCGCTATGGTCCATTCTATTCTTCCTCATGTTGCTGACACTTGCTGTGGACAGCGAGGTAAGAGCCCAATCATACTTAGTCTGAAGCAATCAAGTTTTACTGGTAATTCATGCATTTATCCATTTTTTTTTTTAATTTCTTCAGTTTGTATTGGTTGAGACGGTCGTGACGTCATTGATGGACAAGTTTCCCAAACTCCGAGAGCAGAAGTTGCCGACAGTCATTGGTGTTTGTGTTGTGATGTTTCTTCTAGGCCTCACACTGACCACTAATGTAACTAGTTTGTGTTTTTTCTACCTCTAATTTTTCCTTGAAATTTATTAAGCAGAATTTAGTGACAAAAGCAAGGGTTCAAGCAATAAAGAAGCCTTTAGTTATGGAGCCTTGTTCTTGTTTTACAATTCTTTGTTATTGTATTTTTTCTTTCTTCCAATTCCTGATCAGGGTGGTATATATATGCTGGAGATAATGGACACTTACTCGGGTGGATGGGGTGTGCTGTTTATCGCCATATTTGAGTGCATTTCTGTAGCGTGGATTTATGGTAACTACGTATAATAATAGTAAAAAAAATTATTATATACTACATGTATATAAATATTATACAGTATAAACAAAATCGTAATATCAAGATGACAAAACAGTAAAAAAAAAATGTCACTTTCTCTTACGTCTTCAAAAAAAGTGAAAACATGAAAAACATTGTTTAATTTCAAAATATTTATAAATTTATATATATTATGCTAGTAGAGTTTAAGCTAAATCAAGAGGACATGAGTTTCTAAGTCTCCCTTTTTGTGACTTACATGTATCAAGTTTAAAAAGCAAATATAAACCTTATCTTGATAATAATAAGTTACCACACCTAAGTATTTTAAACATAAACATATATTTTATAGCCCTTCCCAGTTTTTAATGGGAATATTTATTAATTCCACCCCAACACCTAATTATTAATTTATTTGAACTTTCTTGCAGGTGTGTTCCGATTTTTAGACGATCTCCAACTGATGGTTGGTGCACGTTTTTGTCATTGTGTTCCCTTTGTTGTGCTCAAGTTTTGGTGGGTGATTTGTTGGGGCTGTGTAACACCCGTTCTATGTGCTGTACGTACTTTTAAAAAAAACACTACATTACTTTAAATCGAGATAAACGAATTTCGTTTTAAAAAAGAATACAGTGTATGGCTTTCAAAGTACTCTTTACCACCGCAATAAATGTATTGTGAAAATATTGCCAAGTGTTGGTACATGTAACTATAATTCTTATATTTATGAGACTTTTTCCCTTTCAGATCATTATGATATTTTCCTGGGTGGACTACACAGGCCTAGCCAATAAAGCTCATTATAACGTGTACGCTGATCTTATTGGCTGGGGAATGACACTAACCATCATTCTCTCCATTATTGGCACGGCTATATATGTAGTAGTCCGAGAGTATGGAAATATCATGGAGGTATTGTATCTTTTTTTGCTCATATTAGAAGACCCTGTATAATGTAAGAGTCGTTAAACTTTTAATTATAGGTTGGCTCTATCAGTTATATGAAATCTCCAGCATGCTTTACAACTTCCAAAAAGAGAAAGAAAGAAACACACTTACAGGGATCTTTTTGAAATAAAGACATGTAAGTGTGTTAAATTTGATGATAAGAATCACTTTTATCGTTTTAGAGACTGAGAGGGGCGTTTAGTCCCACAACTGAGTGGGGACCCGCCCTAGTGAAATACCGTCAGGAGGCAGAAAACCACACCATGAAATACACCAACACATTTGTCATTGATGTGCATCACACGGAATCTCGGGAGTCCAAAGGCTCAGAAATTATGGAAATGGTATTTATAGTTGAATTTCATATCTCTCATACCTTCGATATATAGTAGTGAAAATTTAATTGAACAACGTTTTCTTGATTTATTTTAACCTGGAGTTCTGGATAACTAGTACTAGTTTCTTCTCGGCCAGATCAGGTCCGAGATAACAAAATTTGATTTCATATATAATCTTAGGACCAGAGTTGCCTTGGTCCAATCTGGCGCATTTGATTTCTTATTGAGCCTGTACAATACCTCAGTTTAGGATTTCGACAAATCTACTAAATTGAACTGTTGCAAATGAGAGTACAGATTTGTAATCATGTTTACATCAACAAAAATTGTGTACCATTCAAAACAGTACCTACAAATTTTAATCATGGACAAGTTGATTTCTTAAGATATTTTTTAAATTTTATTTTCAGTCTACAGTGGGTGGTATTGAAAATAAATGTTATATCATACATGGCGAGGAAGATAACAACAGACCAAACGCCGAAAACGGTAATTATGAGCATTGCATACGAATGAGTAATACTGTACCATTTGTTCAAGGAAAAATACGGTTAATTTTGCTCCTCATCTATTAATTGTTTTCACAATCTGATTGACTAAAATTGTAAATAAATATTAATTTATCAAAAGGTATTACAGGAGATTTTTAAGGATGAAGTTTTATAGCGTTCTAAAAGATAACCCAATTCAGGGGCTTAAAAGGGTCTTACCCCTACTTGTACTTTAAATAGCATGTAATATAATATAAAACCATATTGAACTACGGAAGCCCAATAGTACAAACCAAAAATAAATAAAGAAAAAACGAAATTATTAAATAAAGAAAACGAAATTATTAAATAAAGAAAATGAAATTACATGTATTGAATAGAGAAAACGAAATTATTTAAAAAAGAAATCGAAATGATTAAATAAGGAAAATGAAATGATTTTGCTGTATTTAATAATTTCGTTTTTTTTAAATTTATTTTTGGTTTGCACTATTGCGCTTCCGTTTAAGACAAGTCCTACTTGTGTGATTTTCAAGCATTTTTTAATCTTACCTAAAGAAATAAAATATAAGAATTTTTTTCACAGGAGTAGGTCCAGCCATGGAACAATGAAGATTTCTACATTATTAATCTTGATCGGAGTGATAAATAAGAAGAACTTTTTGTACAAACGATTTCTTGAGTTTTAATGTGAATACTCTCAACTTTTTAAACCGGTGAATTCCATTTTTCAATAGCATGTGGTCACTTAATTAGCTTTACAACGTATCTATTTAATAATTTCCTATTGAAATACATTTGACATTTTTTGTGTCGAGTAATTTTATTTTTATTTGATCAATGGTGAGGGATTTTTTGTTAAAGGGACATGGACACAGTTTCAACTGATTTTTTAAAATCAGTTTAAATGTTTATAATTCCTAACTAAGATATTATCTAATGATCAGCAAAAATTTGAACGTCATTTGTTGATTAACATACGAGATACAGAATTTAAAGTTCTTCATAATGTAAACAAGGCCCGTGCCTTGTTTTTGTTTACATATAGAAAATATCATTTTGATAAAAAATGAAATTCAGCAAATCACTAGAAACTGTCTAATAGTGTTTTGAAGTAATTTCTTCATTGAAGTTATTTGCTTTGAACGCAGATATATTAGTATATTAACTTACGTAAACAAAAACATGACACGGACTCAATTTACGTAATAAAGGTTTGGAGCTCTAACTTTGTCTTGTATCTCCACAACTGAAGTTCAAACTTTGATGATCATTAGAAAGACCTTCGTTGAATATTTGTGAAAAGGGGAAAATAATTTTGAATTTTTTTAAGCTGAAACTGTGTCCATGCCCCTTTAAATGTGCATAGACATAGATGTAAGAAATAAAGTCCGCGTTTTCGTCAATGTTGCAGAATAACCTCCAAGGTCGAGAAATGTTGTTTGAAAGATAAAAGCCGAGGCTTTCATATTCCAAACAACATTTCGAAACCGAGGAAGTTATTCTGCTGCATTATTTCTGCATCATTCACAACAACAAGGACTTTATTTCTATTTTATTACATGTAATAGCAAATCTAAAATACAACTGATCGTTTCTCTATAGAGGAACACTTTTCCTATTGAACCACTTTATCACTAGTTAAGTTCACGGAGTTTAAATATGGCGTAGGGAAGTTCGTGAAACAGCCCCACTCGGATTTAGAAACCTACATTCATCAGCTACTTTCTGCAATAAACAGTGTTTAAATTGCAAAAGACGACACATCGCTGTTGTCTAAATAAGTATTTCATTCTTAAGTCAAACAAGCTAATTCAGAGAATTTGTGTCCCCCGCTTAAGGAAAAAGTAAAACATGCGCAGTTCGGGGGGGAGGGGGGGAAGTCGGATCCCCCTCACTGAATTTGTAGAATTATTAAATGTATACATGCATGTACATTGAATATACGTAATAACTCTCCTCATGCTCCTGTGCTAAAAATAGCAACATGTGATACTATAAATACTAATAAAACAAACGGGGCGGGGCACTTTGAGAGGGGTGAGAGAGGTCTTAGGGAGTTTTGGTATAAAATTACATTGCATAAGCTCAAAATCTTCTTGAAATATCGCCCGGAAATGATAGTGTTACACACAGACAGAATGTATAAATTTACGACCTTGAACTTTGACCTTTTGACCTCAAATTCAATAGGGGTCTTTATTAGGCCACAGGAAGTTGTTATGTAAAATTTCATTGCAATAGCTCAAATGGTTCTAGAGATATCGTGTGGAAACGAAAGTGTTATAACAGAGAGAATTTGCTTATTTATGACCTTGACCTTTGACCTTTTGACCTCAAAATCAATAAGGTTCTTCTTTAGTCCATAGGGAGTTGCTATGATAAATTTCATTGCAAAAGCTTAAAGGGTTCTCGAGATATCGTGTGGAAACGAAAGCGTTACAGACAGACAGAAAGACGGACGGACGGACAAACCCAAATTAATATCCCCCACTTTTCAAGCGGGGGACAATAAATGGACATTTCAACTGCACAGGTTTGATACGTGTTTCTGATCTGATAATTTTTTGATGAGGTTCATGATTTATTAGAGAATAATGTCCGCGGCATTTCTTTGATACTTGTGAAGGGGTTTTGCTTTCGAACATTTCTACTCTGAATATAATTATTTTTCTGAATTAAACTTTTTAAAATTTTTCAATAACTTTTAGATGAAATAAGATTTTTAATATAGTTTCGTGTGAAATGCTATTACAATATATATATATATAAGTCGTGATATAATACAGATAATATTAACTTCAAATCTGTGTCTATGCACCTTTAAATGATTAAACATAACTGTACTCCTCATACTATTACATCTTTACATGTAGAAGATTTCAATCACAGCGGGATTTTTTTTTTGTTGTAAAATTAAGGTTTTTCCTAATATAAACCTCATTTCAGAGAGAGAGAGAGAGAGAGAGAGAGAGAGAGATTGAAATGTGAAAAATTGAGACGTACAATTTTTTTTCACAATTCTTCAATCCACAGTTTGCAAAAAGTAAACTGGGTTATGGTTCTTTGCAGGTTCAACTCAAAGCTTAAATTATAGAATAAAGATTTCTGTTCTCAATATTTGGGCGTTATGTGATGTTCAACGTTTTTTAATGAAAATCTTTTAACTATTGATAATTAACCCCACCCAAAGGCAATCAACACAAAGTCTTTTGTCAAATGCTAATATACTGTATATATATACTCAGTAATGGAAAATTCATGTTTTTTTTCTTATTTTTTTTTTTTTCATTTTAATGTTATCTAATGAATGAAATTATTTTACCATTACATCGTAAGAATGAAGAAATTAACTCTAATCTATTTAAACCACGTAAACAAGGCACCAGATCGTGTTAATTCAAAGGATTGGTGCCTTACCGTTAGTGAATGGCCGAAGATGTACAGAAGTAGACAAGATAAAAAGTTTAATGCCCTATATAAAAACGAAATGAAAATTATTTTCATCAAACCCCCCCCCCCTTTAAAAACCAGATGTGATAAATTTCAATTAAGGTAGGATTCTTCTCTGGTTTTTGACTAGATGAAACATTCAAAGTATATTCGCTTACATGTCTTATATACTGAGGTGTAAGGGATTTGAAAGACCATATTTTTCTTTCCTCATCACAATTGTACAACTTTAAATAGAAATGGTAAACTGCATTTGAAAACTAGCAGGGACTATATTTTTGGCGGAATGGTGGCGTATGAAAATATCTTCTTTTCTGCCTCTCAAAATTATGATAGAACAAAGAATTTAGTTATAAATTTTTACACAATCGAAGACTTGGATGCAGCTGGGTGAAAAAAGTGGTTTCCCATCATGGGAAACTTTATGGAAACCACATGGAAACCTCAAGTTTACATCATGTTTCCCAGTGGTTTCCGCAGCGGATGCCAGGTTATTCCGCCAAGTTTCCGTGACACGGAAACCCCCTACGCTCCGATTCCATAAGGTATCCCGAACCACGGAAACCTCTGTAAACCTGAAGTTTCCCGAACATCCATGTAGTTTCCCGTAATGGGAAACCTAAAGATTCCACTGGTTTCCAGAATCAGGAAACTTGATGGAATCGGAGCGTAGGGGGTTTCCGTGTCACGGAAACTTGGTGGAATCTTTAGGTTTCCTTTTACGGGAAACTACATAGAAGCTCGGGAAACCTCACCATTCCTATAGTTTCCGTGACTCAGGAAACCATATGGAATCGGAGCGTAGTGGTTTCCGTGGGATGGAAACTTGGTGGAATCTTAAGGTTTCCTTTTTAAGGAAACTACATGGAAGCTTGGGAAACCTCATGATTCCTAAAGTTTCCGTGACTGAGGAAACCACAGGGAATCAGAGTGTAGTGGTTTCCGTGGAATGGAAACTTGATGGAATCTTAAGGTTTCCTATTACGGGAAACTACATGGAAGCTCGTGAAACCTTACGATTCCTAAAGTTTCCTTGACTCAGGAAACTATATGGAACTTGTGTAGCAGTTTCTGTGTGGCGGAAACTTGGTGGAATTATCTGGAGTCCCATTCCTGGTTGAAGTTACTGGGAAACTTCAAGATTCCCCAACTTTTCTTAAGGAAGCGATGTGAAATTATGTGTATTCTTTCAAAAATCTATCAAAAAAATTATTAAATGTAAGAGAAAAAAAGCATTACCATTTTATATGTTTAATAATTCATTTGATGTACAAAAACTGTAACAGTATTTTTCAATGATATCAAAATACTAAATAAATTCATATATCTTAGATAAACAATGGAACAGTCTTTCACATTTAAGTCCATTCATAAGCGTCATTAAGTACTTCTTTCAACATCAGTTCCCTGGTATTTCCTTCACATCATCTATGATCTGCAATATTCATACAAAATTATCATATGATGTGTCAGAATTATAATGCTTGAATATAACTTAGAAATCTGAAAGATCAGCCAATGTTCTTTAATATACCAATATCAATAATTACTTTCCATGACCATGATACATATGATTTCAGCATTTAATGTGTCTCTTTAAAATTCAATGCTTTATGATAAGGAAAATTTTTTTTACATAATATAAATAATGTTTTCAGCCTCATTATATCATTGAGAATATATTACAATTTCATAGAACCCTGCTTTAAGTTGAATTAGTTCGAGAGAAAATATACTCTTTATAATAACAAAAATATTAATAGAGAGAGAATTTTTTTTTAATTTTTGATATTTGACCTAAAAAATTGGTTGAAGATCATTGCAGACCCTCCACACCAATTGCATAAAAGCTAGATTACACCAAGGGAGAAATATACTCTGGACTACGACTTTGAATAAAGATATACAGTACATTTTGATACTGACCTTTGACCTAGAAAATTAGTCCAAGGTCACTCTTCATCCTCTATCCACAGGCTCTCTGTAGTTTAAGTTTGAGAGAGAAATATGCTCAGAACAAGTGATATCAGATGGCGTGATGGGTAGACACACTGTCTAAGGGCATCCACAGAACAGGTCTCTAAAAACGATGCAATATATATGTATTACAGTATGGATATACATGTACTTGTATGTTAATGATTTATCATATGCTGCATTGGACACGTATGCTTTTATCATGATGTAAGTATACATGTATATTATGAGTAATTTTATGCCAGTATTGCATGTACACTCGGTTTATAAACAAGTAATTTAAATTTTTTTTTTTACAAAAATTGACCAACATTATTTACATCCACTCATCATGTTCATGAATTGGTGGATCAAAATTCAGTCAGTTTTAGATCTCTATGATATACCATAGACAACTTTCACATTTACAAAAGTTATTCCCCTTTGCAGGGTCAATTTGGGGTCAATCGGCTTAAGACGCTGTTATCCCTCTACATAACCATACCAACTTTGAGGGTCAATACCTTGGAAGTGAAATCTGTATGAACATGTTCATTATGATTTTCATGTTACCCCATACTCTGGCCATACAGATACAGATCATAATTGTCCAATATCGTTTGGATTGAAAAAATACAAGTAACTTACAAAGGACAAAGTGAGAAAAATGAGCGATACACCGACAATTGGAGACAACTCTTAGCAATGTGAAATTTGTCTATTGGTGATGACAATTCCTGTTTTAATGTCACTGAAAAATTAAGAGACATTAAAAATTTAAGCCCTATTGTCATGCATGCATGCTGTTTTTTTTAAGTATTTTCAACCAAACTATAAATTACAATTGCTTGTAATTGAAAGATGGATCCATTACACATTGCACCCCATTACTTTGAAAAAATGTAATGATTACAATGCATTACCATTACACATTACCATTACCCCAGGTCTGTTTTCAACCACATAACCTTTGGTTTTACTATCATAAAATTTACCAAAATTTAATACTTCAAATAATTTCATTGAATACATGTATCTAAAAAATTGAGGAAACTCTAAAAACTTAGTGTCAGACTTACAGAAATTAATCTTTGGAAAGAAAAAATCTATCATATAAAGATGTGCATAATGAGCCTTTTTTATTCATGTAGAACATATAGTATGTGCATCATTTCCCCAAGAAATTTTCAAAGACAATGGACTATCTGTGAGCAGAAATCATTGCTGTTTACTTCATACATTTGGAAAATTTATGAAAATAATCAAATAATTTTTTTATTTTTGATTTTAGATAATGCTAAAAATAATTTAATCTCTTACAAGTAATCCAACTGACTGTAAAATAAATTTTTTCTTAATCTCAATCTAAGGGCAGATCACTCTAACTGCATAAATTTACCCAATATCAAAGTAGAGCTCTTTAGTGTGCAGTTTTTAGAGCTTCCTTAAAGTCATCAAAATACTGACCAGCAAGAAATCGGTTTACAACATTTCCTCTTTTTCATTCAAATTTTTTGAGAGATCTCAAAGTTTTTTCCTCTTCAATTCAGGTTCGAGATGACAAAGTTTTACTGTAGTGTATGTATTAGAGAACCGATTGTATGTCAATCACGACAATACATACATAACATGGAGGGGGGCAAATTGTTTCAGCCCTAGCTTTTACATAAAACTTCTTGTAGCTCACAGCTGATAAACCACAGCTCAGAATTTAAAATTTAGAATCATTTTTTTTTTCAGGCAATTGTTATACATACCAATCATGATTTAATTACCACTTACCAAATGACCACATCCTGAATCATATCATACATTTTATATGATTTTATCTCACTGGTTTTCTTTTAAAGTCATGCAGTTTTCTTCTCTCTGAAATGATAAATTATGTTAAGGTACTATTGCATTCTAAGGCCAAAAAAAATAATAGTCTTGTTTCCTGCTACCAGCCAGAAAAAAATAGGGTAGGTAGGTAGGAAAATTATTTTATTTTTTAATTTTATTTTATTCTTTCCAACGGTATTTTTTTGGATATGAACTACTATAAAACCAAATTGAACATGTCATAGCTTAGATAGCTAAGGTCAATATCATCTTTAAAAGTGAAATTCCATGTCTTTTGATGCACAACTCAAGTGGAATTTTACGAAAGTCCATATTTTAAACATATATTTCATGAAATACGACTTGAGAATATATAATTTTTTTCACTTTTGAAACATGAAATTTCTAAAATTTAGAATTTTTTTCCCCAAAAGCTAAAAAAAAACTTTAGAGTCGGGTGCAAAAAAATAGGGTAGGTCGGGTAGCAGGAAACAAGACTATTTTTTATTTTGGCCTAATTTAAACTAATTATGTAATAGCATTAGCAACAACAGGGATGGGCAAAAAAAAACAAAACAAGATGCGCTTGTAAAACACTATGTGCCCGGCGGCAACAAAGTTTCGAAAAAGCAATTTTTTTAGCATATAGGTCACAGTCAAGATCACATAATCATTGTCCTTGTTGTCACGTGAAAGCACTTCATAAGTGGAGTATGCATCCTAAATATGATGTCACTATCTCATATAGTTCTAAAGTTATGGTGAAGGTTTAAGTTGACAAAAGACAGACACTGAGATAAACAGTTATGGCAAAAGTTCGAAAAAGCTATTTTAACATATAATTACAGTCAAAGTCACAAGGTCATTGACCTTGTTGCATTTCAAAGAACTTAATTATCGTAGTATGCATACCAAATATGAAGTCTCTATCTCTCACAGTTCAAAAGTCATGGCAATGGTTCAAGTTGACAACAGACTGAAAGGACAAAATCAATACACGTGCCGAATCTATCAATTCAGGCGTATAAAAATTTCAAACAAATGAGCATCAACTAGTTTGTACCATTCTACTTCTCCTATGTCAGGACAACCATCACTAATTCACTATTTCATACAAGTCTTTTTTTCAAAATATTTAATCTAATGCAATAGCTCACCAGCAGAATATGATATTGTGCTCGACTCATTGTTTGCCTGCACCACAGTTATGTAGAATGTGGCGTATGTTATAAACTTATAATTATATTCAGATATAAGAAGCATGTTATTTTTTATGACAGCTAAGTCTGTTCGGTTAGACAATACCATGTACACTGTACATGTATGTAAGTAGTTTAATTGTGCTTGATTATTTACTTATTTTCTTCTCAACTTAACGGGGCTGGGGTGTGGCAGCCATTTTCAGATTATTTTTATCTCCTTTAAAAGAAGAGCACCATATACAGATATAAAAAATGATCAAATTTTAAAAATAAAATATCTGAATTTTTTCCTTGCCAAATAATAGTTGACAGCTTAAGATACCGTATGTAAAAAAATAAGTTAAATCTGGTGGTTAATTTATGATTAATTTGTTGACCCCCCAGCCTCCTTAAAGCTGAACACAACTCGTAAATAGGCATACGCCATTTTCGATAGCATTATCTATGATACATCAATACTAGGGTATACTCGTTGCAATCATTACACCTGACTGCTTTATTGTCACGGGTATTGGCGTGGAATAGCAACCCGTGATCGTGCTGGTTATCTTGCATTACCTTTTTTTTTACATTTTATTGCAGTTACGTTTATCTGTGTTTTTTGTATATTTTACTGACTTATAAAACTATAATTGTTATAAACTTATTTGGTATCTTATTTTCCTGCATTAGATGAAGTATTACGTTATTACTCTTGCTACCGAGTTCTTCTGTATAGCATACGTCCGTCTTCACCAGTGTAGACTGATTACACTGAACAGTGACCAACTGCTGCCCTATTTATAGCGGTCTGCAGAGAAGATAGACTCGGGAACAAAAATGGCGGACAGATTCCTTTTACGAATCGTATTCAGCTTTAAAGTGTTCTGTGTTTTATTACCAAGTTTGTAATAAGCATTTTGAAACATACTATCAATATTAATTCACTATGAAGGCTTAATTTTCTTTTTTTACATCTTCATCTCAGCAGGTTAGACAGTACAAAAAAATCTTTTGAGCAGTAAACTATTTCAATAAACAAACCTAATCTCTTCAGAGAAGTGGACAGGCTTTCACCTACATTCACTTTTTTATGTATATTTTCCCTCCATATCATCATCATGCATATGATTAAGGGTTATGCTACAGTATTGGCTACAATCTATTCCAACTGTTCTGAATGATGATATCCTTCATGATAATCGGATAAGCTGAGATTGAAGACACTTTTTGTAAAAATATTGATGCTTTTATTAAGGTTTTGAACCAAAAGTATTTCATTCATACCTTGCCATAAGTCATAAGTTCCAAAAATCAAAAGAGTTGGCTATCCGAAAACGGAAAGTCATCAGAATTCAAACCGGATGTACTACAGTCTGAATTTAACTACGAAACCATGCTCGGTATAACTATTATCATCCGGATAATTTGAGCGGGGTTAAAAATATATTTTTGTTTAAATCCGAAAAGTATTCATTTATATTTAGAGAGAGAATATACATATTGAGCATACATTTTAATAAACATGGTGAAAGGCGAAACGTTGCCATTTTACAAGGGTGCGTCGATTTACCCAAAAGGACCCAAAAGGACCCAAAAGGAACCCAAAAGGACCCAAAAGGAACCCAAAAGGACCCAAAAGGAAATCAAAAGGACTCGAATTAATATATTATAATACATTGAAAAATAATAATTTGAATTAAATTATGAATATTATATTATAAATTTACCTAAAAATTGGCAAAAACATACATTTATATTGTTGCAACTTTTCTTAAAGAAATAACATACGACTTTTATAACACATCAATCATTAAATCTGATCAGATATGCTTTGATTTCTTTTAGCTGAATTTAACAAAGTGCACTGTATTATTCTATTTCTCCTTCTGTTTTATTATATCTTATTATATGATATTCGATAAATAAAGAAATAAGTTTATTTAATGACATGTTCTAGGCATATGGTATCGGGGATGGGTGGGGGATGGGGGGGGGGGGCTCCCACCTCAACCCAAACACGCACTTTACCCTCAAAAAACTAGTTTTAGTTTTAATAAAATATGAAAGTATACATTATATATCCATTTAATCTCTTTATTTCAAGTCCTTTTGGGTCGTTCTTAATTTCCTTTTGGGTTCCTTTTGGGTTCTTTTGGGTCCTTTTGGGTAAATCGACGCACCGTTTTACAACATACGGTGCCTTGGGACCTCTATAATCTATTTTAAGTTATGTTGTATCACTGTCTCAAATCTCTCTCTCTCTCCCTCACTCTCTCTCTCTCTCTCTCTCTCTCTCTCTCTCTCTCTCTCTCTCTATCTCTCTCTCTCTCTTGCAATATATGCACTTAACAATTTAAAACTTAGATATCCAACTTTTTAAAATGGCGTCAGAACAAAAGTTGCCTACGATAGTGAAGATTTGTTGTTGCCAAATATTACAATTATTTGCCGTAAAAAGGTAACAAAAATATACGTACATTAATCCTTGGTTGTTGGTCATTGCATTTATCACAGTCTTAAAGACACTGGGTGGTGAAAACATCAACTTTTCACATTTACGAGCTGCTTACACCTTCTTCTTCGTCCTTCTCGATCCTCTAAAAATGGCGCCTCGGGAAATTGACCAATGAAATAAAGCGCCTGCAGAGCGATGCAGGATGGGAAAATAAACTGTTTACATTCACTATGATTATGTGTGATTATGAGATTTTATATTAGAATTTAGAAGTTTTCCCCTGTTCCTGGAATAAAAAAAGGGGCTCCTATTAAAATATTTTTTGTCGATATGATGTGTAGGCCTGGTATATTTAGATAAAAAGCGGTTAAATACGTGAGAGCAGAGAAAAATTATGTTTCTTGCGTGACACCTCAACTTATTTGCCCTCGGGATGAGGGGTTCGTAGATATGGCAAGAAATTGGTACTGCGTTTTTAGGTGATACTTTTGTACCCTAGGGTACACCCTTATTAAATGTATGGAGAAAAGGTTACAAAAAGGGTACACTATTTATTCCTACTGAAAACGAAAGTAGATGCTTCCCAGTGGAAGGAAGACTGTAACATCTATATAAGTAAAATTAAAAATAATGTAGCCGATGCTCAGGGTAGAGTGGGTACAAAGGGTACACTTGGGTACAGCAGGTTACAACACTATAAGAAATGGATACAAGAGTTAAGAAGGCTGAAATTTTCTAAGTTAAAATTTAAAATAATGGAGCCGATGCTCAGGGTACAGTGGGTACAAAGGGTACACATGGGTACAGCAGGTTACAACACTATAAGAAATGGATACAAGGGTTTAGAAGGCTGAAATTTTCTAAGTTAAAATTTAAAATAATGTAGCCGATGCTCAGGGTACAGTGGGTACAAAGGGTACACATGGGTACAGCAGGTTACAACACTATAAGAAATGGATACAAGGGTTTAGAAGGCTGAAATTTTCTAAGTTAAAATTTAAAATAATGGAGCCGATGCTCAGGGTACAGTGGGTGCAAAGGGTACACATGGGTACAGCAGGTTACAACACTATAAGAAATGGATACAAGGGTTTAGAAGGCTGAAAATTTCTAAGTTAAAATTAAAAATAATGGAGTCGATGCTCAGGGTACAGTGGGTACAAAGGGTACACATGGGTACAGCAGGTTACAACACTATAAGAAATGGATACAAGGGTTTAGAAGGCTGAAAATTTCTAAGTTAAAATTTAAAATAATGGAGCCGATGCTCAGGGTACAGTGGGTACAAAGGGTACACATGGGTACAGCAGGTTACAACACTATAAGAAATGGATACAAGGGTTTAGAAGGCTGAAAATTTCTAAGTTAAAATTTAAAATAATGTGTAGCCGATGCTCAGGGTACAGTGGGTACAAAGGGTACACATGGGTACAGCAGGTTACAACACTATAAGAAATGGATACAAGGGTTTAAAAGGCTGAAATTTTCTAAGTTAAAATTAAAAATAATGAAGGGGATGCTCAGGGTACAGTGGGTACACATGGGTACAGCAGGTTACAACACTATAAGAAATGGATACAAGGGTTTAAAAGGCTGAAATTTTCTAAGTTAAAATTAAAAATAATGAAGGGGATGCTCAGGGTACAGTGGGTACAAAGGGTACACATGGGTACAGCAGGTTACAACACTGTAAGAAATGGATACAAGGGTTTAAAAGGCTGAAATTTTCTAAGTTAAAATTAAAAATAATGGAGCTGATGCTCAGGGTACAGTGGGTACAAAGGGTACACATGGGTACAGCAGGTTACAACACTATAAGAAATGGATACAAGGGTTTAGAAGGCTGATTCAGAAATTCTCTAAGTTAAAATTAAAAATAATGTAGCCGATACTCCGGGTACAGTGGGTACAAAGGGTACACATAGGTACAGCAGGTTACAACACTATAAGAAATGGATACAAGGGTTTAGAAGGCTGAAATTTTCTAAGTTAAAATTAAAAATAATGTAGCCGATGCTCAGGGTACAGTGGGTACAAAGGGTACACATGGGTACAGCAGGTTACAACACTATAAGAAATGGATACAAGGGTTTAGAAGGCTGAAATTTTCTAAGTTAAAATTTAAAATAATGTAGCCGATGCTCAGGGTACAGTGGGTACTAAGGGTACACATGGGTACAGCAGGTTACAACACTATAAGAAATGGATACAAGGGTTTAGAAGGCTGAAATTTTCTAAGTTAAAATTAAAAATAATGGGGCTGATGCTCAGGGTACAGTGGGTACAAAGGGTACACATGGGTACAGCAGGTTACAACACTATAAGAAATGGATACAAGGGTTTAGAAGGCTGAAAATTTCTAAGTTAAAATTTAAAATAATGTAGCCGATGCTCAGGGTACAGTGGGTACAAAGGGTACACATGGGTACAGCAGGTTACAACACTATAAGAAATGGATACAAGGGTTTAGAAGGCTGAAATTTTCTAAGTTAAAATTAGAAATAATGGAGCCGATGCTCAGGGTACAGTGGGTACAAAGGGTACACATGGGTACAGCAGGTTACAACACTATAAGAAATGGATACAAGGGTTTAGAAGGCTGAAATTTTCTAAGTTAAAATTTAAAATAATGTAGTCGATGCTCAGGGTACAGTGGGTACAAAGGGTACACATGGGTACAGCAGGTTACAACACTATAAGAAATGGATACAAGGGTTTAGAAGGCTGAAATTTTCTAAGTTAAAATTAAAAATAATGGGGCTGATGCTCAGGGTACAGTGGGTACAAAGGGTACACATGGGTACAGCAGGTTACAACACTATAAGAAATGGATACAAGGGTTTAGAAGGCTGAAAATTTCTAAGTTAAAATTTAAAATAATGTAGCCGATGCTCAGGGTACAGTGGGTACAAAGGGTACACATGGGTACAGCAGGTTACAACACTATAAGAAATGGATACAAGGGTTTAGAAGGCTGAAATTTTCTAAGTTAAAATTAGAAATAATGGAGCCGATGCTCAGGGTACAGTGGGTACAAAGGGTACACATGGGTACAGCAGGTTACAACACTATAAGAAATGGATACAAGGGTTTAGAAGGCTGAAATTTTCTAAGTTAAAATTTAAAATAATGTAGTCGATGCTCAGGGTACAGTGGGTACAAAGGGTACACATGGGTACAGCAGGTTACAACACTATAAGAAATGGATACAAGGGTTTAGAAGGCTGAAATTTTCTAAGTTAAAATTAAAAATAATGGGGCTGATGCTCAGGGTACAGTGGGTACAAAGGGTACACATGGGTACAGCAGGTTACAACACTATAAGAAATGGATACAAGGGTTTAGAAGGCTGAAAATTTCTAAGTTAAAATTTAAAATAATGTAGCCGATGCTCAGGGTACAGTGGGTACAAAGGGTACACATGGGTACAGCAGGTTACAACACTATAAGAAATGGATACAAGGGTTTAGAAGGCTGAAATTTTCTAAGTTAAAATTTAAAATAATGGAGCCGATGCTCAGGGTACAGTGGGTACACAGGGTACACATGGGTACAGCAGGTTACAACACTGTAAGAAATGGATACAAGGGTTTAAAAGGCTGAAATTTTCTAAGTTAAAATTAAAAATAATGGAGCTGATGCTCAGGGTACAGTGGGTACAAAGGGTACACATGGGTACAGCAGGTTACAACACTATAAGAAATGGATACAAGGGTTTAGAAGGCTGATTCAGAAATTCTCTAAGTTAAAATTAAAAATAATGGAGCCGATACTCCGGGTACAGTGGGTACAAAGGGTACACATGGGTACAGCAGGTTACAACACTATAAGAAATGGATACAAGGGTTTAGAAGGCTGAAATTTTCTAAGTTAAAATTTAAAATAATGTAGCCGATGCTCAGGGTACAGTGGGTACAAAGGGTACACATGGGTACAGCAGGTTACATTAAAAGAGTAGAAGATGATCTGGGTTTCTTCTCCTACCAGGGGAGTGGAGAGGAATACCAAAGTAACCAAGGGATTACGGCATTATAAGCAGGGAAAATCCCTGGTCCCCGGGTTTAAGGGACCACCCTGCTTTTTAAGAGGTCATTATACCTAGGCCCAAAGGCAGTTTTAAATGAATAAATGAATCTGGTGACACAGATAACACAAGTCAGTGTCCTATCATTAAAAACATGTTTTAAGTCATCCGCATGGGTATAAACAGCATTTCCATGGCAAAGTAACATCTGTGCATTGATTCAAACTAAGCCTATGATATCCCATTAGACCTAAAAGATCAATTGAAGTGGAGTCTGGTCTGGTTCTTCATTTAGTTAATTTCTGAACTGTCTTTATTACTATATGCTTTTGGGAAGTTGAGGGGAGTACTAAAACGAGTCATCGGCTTCTCAATAGAGAATAGTATACAATATAAACAAAGTAGTGTAAACAAAGCTTACTGGATCATTATGGAACGAAAGCTTGTGGGCTGACTTCATTTGTCAAAGATAAGCATATGTCGAATTGCACCAGTCATAATTATGACAAGTGTAAAACAGCTTAGTGGCAAGTGGAGTATTACTATATCAGTGAAAACAAAAAATAATATAGTAAAAAATAATCATTTAATTTAGATCTATCACTTTTACATTATGTCTAAGCAAAACAAATTTTAATAATTCAAAATCCAATTTTTAACAAAAAATCATGGACCTCATAAAAAAGGGGGGGGGGGGGAATTTTAAAAAGATGAATTGAGATTTGTTCAAGAAATGAAAACAATTTAAAACATGCCAAATTGGTTTTAAGTATGAGCATTTCAATAGTAGTTTTATCTTACTACAACATGACTAACACCGGCAAATTCCTTGCTGGTCAATTCAGTCCGGGGAGATCAGCCTGTTGAACCTTCCCCAGTCAAATGAAGTAACAAGCCCGGTTACCAAAGGTCAAACAGCGTATTTGATGTACACTGGCTAGACAAATGAAGTCCCACCTATGACTGTAACACTGACATATTTCACCAAGGCGTTTGTTTCATACTTTCTGTATACTTTACTGTATACATGATTGAAACAAATGCTAATATGACTTTTAAAGGTGGGTAGTAATTGTAGTTAATTTCAATATGTTGTTAATTTTTGTAGGAAATGGATAAAATTGCTACATAATTAAAAAAGAAACAATTCATACAGTAAATTATTTCTTCTCTCAATTAAACATACAAGTTCTACATGTTCTACCGGTGAGAACCGTGTCCAATTTCAGAGCAGATTTCTGACAGAGAAATAACATATGGTGGCAAAAAATACAAGAATTCGTGTATATTAGGCATCATACCAGCGGGACACCCAGATTGAATCTGTTTGCTGACTGCATTTAGTACAGAAACGCCGACTTTTTTACACGAAGAACGGATCATTTTCTCCCACTGTGACCTTCTCCGCTTAGTTGTAATCCAGATCAACAGAGCGCTTGAGTGCGTCGATTTACCCAAAAGGACCCAAAAGGACCCAAAAGGAACCCAAAAAGGACCCAAAAGGAACCCAAAAGGACCCAAAAGGAACCCAAAAGGACCCAAAAGGAAATCAAAAGGACTCAAATAAATATATTAATATACATTGAAAATTAATTATTTGAATTAAATTATAAATATTATATTATAAATTTACTTAAAAGTTGGCAAAAACATAGTTGCAACTTTTCTTAGAGAAATAACATACGACTTTTATTACACATCAAACACTAAATCTAGTCAGATATGCTTTAATATCTTTTAGCTGAAATTAACAAAGTACACTGTATTATTCTATTTCTCCCTTGTTTTACCATATCTTACTACATGTATATGATATTTGATAAGAAAAGAAATAAAGTTTTATTTAATGACATGTTTTAAGCATATGGTATAGGGGATGGGTGTATGTGGGGGGGGGGGGGGCTCCCACCCCACCCCAAACACAAACTTTACCCTCAAAAAAATAAAATATGAAAGTATTTATTATATATCCATTTATTCTCTTTATTTCAAGTCCTTTTGGGTCGTTCTTAATTTCCTTTTGGGTCCTTTTGGGTTCCTTTTGGGTCCTTTTGGGTTCCTTTTGGGTCCTTTTGGGTTCTTTTGGGTCCTTTTGGGTCCTTTTGGGTAAATCGACGCACCGGAGCGCTTTAATGGAACATCATGTACGTATAAATTTAAGAAAGCCGGATAAAATTGGTAATATAAATACGGCTTTATTAACCTTTTTACATCTTATAAGCTTAAATAGTTTGAAGAAAACATTTTTATGACACATTTGACGATATTTATTCGTGCTTGTATTGATTTTACTGATTAATAATTGACACAAATACGTTTTTATCCGGTTATTGCTATTTCAGTTGCAAGCGTAAATTCAACCCAGAATTATGATGGCAAAGAAGGATGCTTGAGTATTGTACAAAAAAGAAAATGGCATTTGCCATTTTCCTACTCTTTAGGTAAGGATTTTCAAACATTTGAAGTTAATAGACATTTTATTGAGGAACTGAATAAGGAAATACTGTATTGTGACACACAATATACATGTAGTTAGTAGCTAAAGACAGTAGTAGTTGCTAACCATTATTATCTCTCAGTCAATCATATACCACATGATCATGAGACACAAAGTCTATATACTATCACTTAAAATGTAATAGTATGATTTCTGCTAGGAGTCACAGATCTTTGACACACTGTAAGCAACAAGCCAACATTAAATTCCTTTGTAGCTCACTTTAGTCGGATCATTCATGTTTAATAATAATAAAAAAAAAATACACACCAAAATGACCAAATGTTGCGAAAAATGTTTTTCAAAAGGAGAAAAATGATTAGACATTGTAACACAGTGGTAAACAGGGGTGTGCAGTTACCATCGCTCGACGCCCGGCGCTACCAATTTTAGAGGTCGGGCTGTCGTATATCTATACTGCGTTAGCCCGTCGGGCTAGTAAATCTAAAACAAAGGTAAACGTATATTTAACTCGACTGAATTGATGTACAAGTTAACTTTTTTGTAATATGATAATCTTTAATTCGTTTTAACCTATGTGTATTGTGTGTTGCTAATGCCAGTCGTCCCAGTGACAATTGTTGTCGATAAAATAGGGAGAAGTACCTGACAATTACAAAGCACAAACTATTTTTTGTTTTATTTATTTCAACTAAGATTTTTTTTTTACCTTTGTTATACTTATCTTATACATGTATTGTTTTCGATAGTTAATCGGCTAGTGACTGGCAACCTTGGGCTAGTAACTTTGTTACTGCCACTAGCCTGATGGGCTAGTAACTTATTTTTGTAATTGCACACCCCTGGGTAAACATAAAAGGAAACAAAAATAGAATTAAGAGGGAGGAATGTAGGGTCAACTCCAATACAAGGGTATGTAGTCCCTATGCGGAAGCTTGTATTTATATAAAAGTAGTGATTCGGTTCTACTGTCGACCGGGGACAGTTGACAGTTGACATTTAATCATTTCTACTGTCAACCGGGGACAGTTGACAGTTGACATTTAACCATTTCTACTGTCAACCGGGGAGAGTTGACAGTTGACATTTAACCATCTCTACTGTCGACCGGGGACAGTTGACAGTTGACATTTAATCATCTCTACTGTCGACCGGGGACAGTTGACAGTTGACATTTAACCATTTCTACTGTCGACCGGGGACAGTTGACAGTTGACATTTAATCATCTCTACTGTCGACCGGGGACAGTTGACAGTTGACATTTAACCATTTCTACTGTCGACCGGGGACAGTTGACAGTTGACATTTAACCATTTCTACTGTAGACCGGGGACAGTTGACAGTTGGTTAGTCTCGCATTCAGAACTGTGATTAGGGTTAGTCTCGCATAAATAGCTGTGATTAGGGTTAGTCTTGCATAAATAGCTGTGATTAGGGTTAGTCTGGCATTTTTTAATGTGATTAGAGTTAGTCTGGCATTAATAGCTGTGATTAGGGTTAGTTTCGCATTAATAGCTGTGATTAGGGTTAGTTCTGCATTATTACCTGTGATTAGGGTTAGTTTCACATTAATAGCTGTGATTAGGGTTAGTTCCGCATTATTACCTGTGATAAGGGTTAGTCTCACATTAATACCTGTGATTAGGGTTAGTTTCGCATTAATAGCTGTGATTAGGGTTAGTTTCGCATTAATACCTGTGATTAGGGTAAGTCTAGCATTAATACCTGTGATTAGGTTAATTGTCACCAGTCGACAGTAGAACATATGCAAAGTGTCAACTGTCAACCATCGACCTGTCCCCGGTCGACACTAGAATATAAGGGAAGTGTCAACTGTCAACTGTCGACCTGTCCCCGGTCGACACCAGAACACAAGGGAAGTGTCAACTGTCAACCGTCGACCTGTCCCCGGTCGACAGTAGATAATACGAAAAGTGTCAACTGTCAATCGTCGACCTGTCCCTGGTCGACAGTAGAACATATGCAAAGTGTCAACTGTCAACTGTCGACCTGTCCTCAGTCGTCAGTAGATAATACGAAAAGTGTCAACTGTCAACCGTCGACCTGTCCCTGGTTGACAGTAGAGCATATGCAAAGTGTCAACTGTCAACCGTCGACCTGTCCCTGGTCGACAGTAGATAATACGAAAAGTGTCAACTGTCATGGGTGGTGGATGTCAGCTTGTGTAGCTCAGTCAGTAGAGCACCTGACTACAGTTGCAGGGATCCTGGATTTAAATTCCCTGTCCAGTCATACATCTTCTCCTTTCATATCATTATACATAATTAAAATCAAATGATCTGAATCTGCACTGTTTGAGAAACAGTAGCAGATACAGAAAATCTAGTTTTATAATATTGGATCATTGTGATAAAAATGAGTCATCCATGGCAGACAATGAACAGTCATTTAAATACAGCGGTCACTGGAACATTGTAATAAGAATGCATATAATGCAGACGCATCAACCTCTTCATAAAATTTGGTGGGGGTACAGAAGTAAAATTATATTTTTATATAAAAAAAATTATAATGGTATTGTATCAGATGACAAATGCATAGACTGGAAAATTGCCTTGGAAAAATAATTAAAATATACAACATTTATGACAGTAGCATGTATCATCTAGCTTCAATTTCACCAGTAACATTCTAAACATTATTTACACTATTAAGATTTGTTAATTTATGGGTTTACATTTGCTCTTAATTAAATTATATTTTTTCTGTTTGTAGCATTTCTGTAATAATATTGGTTGTTGAAAGTGCATGGCCAACGCAACACAAAATAAAAGAAGTTAAATTTCCATCTAATCTTGGTAAGTCATCCCTAGGTTCTATTAATTTGACCTTAATTTTGTAATTCAGAAAAGTTACAGTATCTCCTTGACCTCTTTGCTTAATTTTCATATATTTACAAATACTACCTCTGATGTTTTGATTTAAGAATGAAAAATAAGTAAGAGGATATACATAGTGTGTAAGAAGGCAGCTGAGCCTGATACTTGTACGATAAATTACACGTTTTTTAATACCTTGTTCAAATAAAGATTTGAGGTATATAGGAATCACTTTCTTCAGCTGTCTATCTCTGTGAAATTTGGTTCTGGCCAAAGCTTTTTAATGGTGATATATTAAAGAATTCATACTAAATATAATGACTGCTTATGACTTGGAAATGAGTTGTGACCTTGACCAGGATTCCAACAGTATCAAAGACACTGACAGATAAAATTTTGATGGAGAAACATGAAGCTTGTTCCTCTTAGAATGATTGCATATGACCTGATGGTCTGTCACAATCTTCACACAAGGTCATCACGGTCTGACATATATAACCAAGTTCAAGATCATTTTCAGTTAAATGTACATGTGTAATTCCTGTTCTGACCATATTATGCAATAGAAAAATGTTATAAGCCTAAAGGTCATACTCATAGATTGTGTTACCACGGTATGTAATGACTTTGATCCAACATCAATCTAACAAGTATAACACTGAAAAAAATGAATTAAATGTTTTAATAATTTTTTTTTTTTTTAGTTAAGCTGAACAAATCATGTCCCTCAAAGAAAGCAAAAGCTCTGACAGAATGTGAGAGGTGCAGTAAAGATGAACTGGTAAATATCTTAATATTTATCTTATGTTTATTGATTGTCATGAGGTTGTTTGGAAGAGTTCTCAGTGCTTTTTGGGAGCTAAACAAAAACAAAGGGCACCTATGATCTACCAGAGTAGATCATCGCCTCACAAAAAGAGCATATCTACCATGTCTACATGATAAATCAATCAAGGCACCATTCTACATCAATTCCAAAGCAAATTATGTCTTTTTAGGTCACCTGAGTCACTCAGGTGACCTATTGCTTTCCGTTTTCGTCCGTCGTCGTCCGTCGTGTGTCGTGTATCGTGTGTCGTGTGTTAACATTTGAACATTTTCAGCTTCTTCTCTGAAACCACTTGACCAATTTCAACCAAATTTGGTATACAGCATCTATGGGTGAAGGGGAACAAAAATTGTGAATTTCATGGTCCCCGCCCCCCTGGGGCCTGAGGGGTGGGGCCAAAACCACTAAAATTAGTGCAATCTTTAAAAATCTTCTTCTTTACTCCAGGACATCAAGCAGGCTAACTGTTGACATGAATGTAATAAGCATTGAGTCCTCTACCAAAATTGTGAAATTCATGGCCCCGGGGTCAGGGGTTCTAGTGCTAGGGTGGGGCTAAATAGGTTATATAGTGAAAATGCATTATTTCCTTAAAAATCTTCTTCTCTGCTCCTGGGTATTAAATAAACTAACTAAGTACATAGTTATGATGAGAAAGAATGCCTCTTCCAAAATTGTGAATTTCTTGGCCCTAGGGTCAGGGGTTCTGGTGTTAGGGCGGGGCTCTATTGATTATATAGTGAAAATGCATTGAATCTCTGAAAATCTTCTTCTCTGCTCTAGGGTATTAAATAAACTAGCTAAGTACATAGTTATGATAAGCAAGAGTGCCTCTTTCAAATTTGTGAATTTCATGGCCCCAGGGTCAGGGGTTCTGGTGTTAGGGTGGGGCTCTATTGATTATATAGTGAAAATGCATTGAATCTCTGAAAATCTTCTTCTCTGCTCTGGGGTAGTAAATAAACTAACTAAGTACATAGTTATGATGAGCAAGAGTGCCTCTTTCAAATTTGTGAATTTCATGGCCCCAGGGTCAGGGGTTCTGGTGTTAGGGCGGGGCTCTATTGATTATATAGTGAAAATAAATTGAATCTCTGAAAATCTTCTTCTCTGCTCTGGGGTAGTAAATAAACTAACTAAGTACATAGTTATGATGAGCAAGAGTGCCTCTTTCAAATTTGTGAATTTCATGGCCCCAGGGTCAGGGGTTCTAGTGTTAGGGCGGGGCTCTATTGATTATATAGTGAAAATAGATTGAATCTCTGAAAATCTTCTTCTCTGCTCTGGGGTATTAAATAAACTAACTAAGTAGTTATGATGAGCAAGAGTGCCTCTTCCAAATTTGTGAATTTCTTGGCCCCAGGGTCAGGGGTTCAAGTGCTAGGGCGGGGCTATATAGATTATTCAGTGAAAATGCATTATTTTTAAAAAAAAATTCTCCTCTGATCCTGAGTATTAAATAAACTAACTAAGTACATAGTTATAATGAGCAAGAGTGCCTCTTCCAAATATGTTAATTTCATGGCCCCTATGTCAGGGGTTTAGCTATTTGGTGTAAGGAGAGGGAGGCTCTACATTACATAAATTCTTTGAAAATCTTTTCCTTTGCTCCTGGGTATTATGCCAATGATCTAAGTATATATATATATTTATGATGAGGAAAGGTGCATCTAGCAAAATGGTTAATTTCATGCCCCCCTGGGTCAGGGGTATGGGGGGGGTACATAGTCTGAAAATAAATGAATGCTTTGAAATTTACTCATTAGTATTAATCAACCATATTTGATGAAATAACATTTATGATGATAAAATTTTGAAATATGTGGCCCCAGGGTCTATGGTTTCTGTGGGATGGGGTGCACAATTGCATGGTTTAGAATGGAAGTGCATTTTTCTCTTAGTTACTCTGATCTACTTATGGGTGTTAAGTGACTATCTAGTAAGCATTGCTAAGTGTATAATTATGATAAGCAGTAGTGCCTCTTTGCAAAATTGTGAATTTCATGGCCTCTGGTTTAAAACACAAACCAAATTCAATTGTTGGAAAGTTGTTACATGAAACTCAGGTGACCTATAAGGCCCGTGGGCCTCTTGTTTATTTTACACACACAAGGACAATGTTTATATAAATATTTTAATAAAAAAAGTGAAATTATTTAAAATGTATAATAAAATGTGTTTTTTTCTCTAAATAATTAAATGTTCAGCTCCTAGGAGTACATTCTATACTTTTTTTTAGGATTTCAGGTTTTAAAACAGTTAAACACATTAAAAAAAAACATTAGAAAAAATCCTAGAAAGCGCAATAGTGAATATGTTTTTAAATTGAAAATTGTACAGTGTATATCATTATGTTTTATATATATTTGGGAATCAGGAAATGAAGAATAACAGGAAATATATCACTGAATTGGCACTTGATTTCCCCACCTGTTAAATATTTAATGATCACAATTAAGCAACTCGGAAGTTTTTAAGGAAACTCTGATTGCATCTTTCCAAACATAACTGAACTCCCTATCAAATAAAATTGGGCATGGGAATACCATTCCCATCTAATTATATTAAAAAAGGACTTGTTTATGGTTTGATTGTGTAGATTTTCCCAGTCCTCATTTTCCTTTAAGTTAATATATAGTAATTAAACCAGCTACACTGAAGTTTTAGTCTTTTGTATTGCAAAACAAAAATTAAGTTGATAGCAAATACAAGGAACCATATAATATTTTTATGCGCCCGGATCGATAGATCCCGGGCGTATATTGTTTTTGTCCTGTCTGTTTGTCTGTTTGTCTGTTTATCTGTTTGTCTGTTTGTCTGTTTGTCTGTTGTCAACTTTAACCTTGGCCATAACTTTTGAACAATAAGAGATAGAGACTTCATATTTGGTATGCATACTCCACTAATAAAGTCCTTTCAAATGACATCAAGGTCAATGACCTTGTGACCTTGACTGTGACCTATATGCTAAAAATAGCTTTTTCCACTGTTTGTCATAACTTTTTAACCATAGGAGATAGGGACTTCATATTTGGTATGCATACTCCACTAATAAAGCCCTTTCAGTTGACAACAAGGTCAATGATCTTGTGACCTTGACTGTGACCTATATGCTAAATATAGCTTTTACACTTTTTGCCATAACTTTTGAACCATAGGAGATAGGATCTTCATATTTGGGATGCATACTCCACTGATTAAATTCTTTCAAATGACACCATGGTCAATGACCTTGTGACCTTGACTGTGACCTATATGCTAAAAATAGCTTTTTACACTTTTTGCCATAACTTTTGAACCATAGGAGATAGGAACTTCATATTTGGGATGCATACTCCACTGATTAAGTTCTTTCAAATGACACCATGGTCAATGACCTTGACTGTGACCTATATGCTAAAAATAGCTTTTTACACTTTTGGCCATAACTTTTAAACCATAGGAGATAGGGACTTCATATTTGGGATGCATACTCCACTGATTAAGTTCTTTCAAATGACACCACGGTCAATGACCTTGTGACCTTGACTGTGACCAATATGCTAAAAATAGATTTTTTGAACTTTGTTGCCGCCGGGCGCATAGTGTTTCACAAACACATCTTGTTAAAATGATTGTAATGTATACTGATCTTCCCAAAAATTAAAAAAAGGTGTTAATTATCCCCAAATCTAACCCCCACCCCCTCCTTCCAATCCCTAATAGTTATGTGAGAAGTTTGTAACATCTTGCCCATTATGTATTTTCTTTTTAAGGAAAAAATCTTAATATATTTTATACATAAAACAAAACTAGGGCTAATTGTAACGGGAACCGTTACAGATGTTCCCCAAACGCTCCCCAACTCCCTTTTGTGTCATATTTTCTGTAAGCTTCATTAAATAAGACAAACGCGATACATTTTAGACTTTAACAAAGTTTTCCCAGAAGTATTCAACTTCAGCATTGCCCGCATGCGCATTTGAATGCATGTGCGTAATGACCATATTATCTTGTCTACACTATTAATATATTTTGATATACTAAATATTACAGCATTTAATCCAAAAATATGTTTAATCTAGTGTATTTGCAATTTTACTCATTTCACGTGCACGCACTTGCATGCATGTGCATGATGATCATACCCTTTTGTAGGAGTTTATAATGTCTATCTATGTTCTGAATACCATCCTGTTTGGTTGAAAAACAAGGGAGTTATAGCCATTTAAAGTTTAAGCCAATCAGATTGCAGCGCACGTGCATGAGCGTGATTTGATGAAAATTATCATATAACTTATTGTAGTACATTCTTAAGTATATATATATTTTAGATTTCATAGCATTTCAACAAAAAAACAGAAAAGATATTGAGATTTTTGTTTCAGCCAATCAGAACGAAGCGCACGTCTATGTACGTGCATATATGTGCATGACGAAGATACCGTCCTGTAGGAGTTCATAATGTCTGTCTATGTTCTAAATCCCATCCTGTTTGGTTTAAAAACAAGGGAGTTATAGCCATTTAAAGTTTAAGCCAATCAGATTGCAGTGCACGTGCATGCGCGTGTTTTCATGAAAATTGTTATATATCATATTGTAGGACATCCTAAAGTATGCTTAAGTTTCAAATTTCATAGCATTTCGTCAAAAAACAGAAAAGATATTGAGATTTTTGTTTCAACCAATCAGAGCGAAGCGCACGTGCATGCGCATGCGTTCGTGCTAATTTGACAGTGTCATATTATCTACACTATTAATATATCCTTATATGATGAGATTCAAATCATTTTATTAAAAAATGTAAAAGTTATGGCTATATTAAGTATATCCGTCATTTCACTCATTTCACGCGCACGCACGTGCATGCGTATGCGCGCAAAATAACCTTCGTTCCGCACACCTACACTACACACCTATTAACCCTAAAAAGGTTTTAGCTCAGTTGGGTGAACAGTTTCTGAGAACACTCGCGGACAAAAAAAGTACCGGAGAACAAATAAGAAAAAAAATAATAATAACTAGTGCTAATTGTAACGGGAACCGTTACAGATGTTCCCCAAACGCTCCCCAACTCCATTTTGGTGCCATATTCCCTGTAAGTTTCATTAAATAAGACAAACTCTGTGCATTTTTGACTTTAAAAACGTTTTTCCCAGAAGGATACCAATTATATTCCATTTTTAGCATTTTAATTCCACTAGTTCCATGTGCGTGCGTGCTTGCATGTCCATGATGGCCATACCTTCTTGTAGGAGTCCCTTATATCTATCTATGTTCTAAATCCCATCCTGTTTGGTTGAAAAACAAGGGAGTTATAGCCATTTCAAGTTTCAGCCAATGAGAGTGCAGCACACGTGCATGTGCGTGATTTCATGATTTTTTCTATATCATATTGTAAGATATCCTAATGCATTTCTATGTTTTAAATTTCAAAGCATTTCGTCAAAAAACAAAGGAGATATAGCCATTTAAAGTTTCAGCCAACCAGATTGCAGCACGTGCACATGCGCATGCTTTCATGAAAATTTTGATATATCATGCTGTAGATCTTCATAATGTAGGACTATGTTAAAAATTTCGAAGGATTACGACAAACAACAAGAAAGATATTGAGACTTTAGTTTCAGCCAATCAGAGCGAAGAGCACGTGCATGCGCGTGAGATCTTGCTATTTTGACCATGCCGTCTTGTCTATACTACTAATGTATCCTTACATTAAGAGTTTCAAAAAAATTCATCAAGAAATAGAAATGTTACGGCTTCATCAATTATATTGGTTATTTCACATGTTGCACGTGTGCGCTTTTTCCAGCACACGCGCATGTACGTGCTTTCATGAAAATTCTTATATATCATGCTGTAGATCTTCATAATGTGTGACTAAGTTCGAAATTTCAAAGGATTATGACTTAAAACAAGAAAGATATTGAGACTTTAGTTTCAGCCAATCAGAGAGAAGCGCACGTGCATGCACGTGAGATCTTGCTATTTTGATCATGTCATCTTGACTATACTACTAATATATCCTTACATTATGAGTTTTAAGACTTTTCATCAAAAAATAGAAGTTACGGCAATATCCATTATATTGGTCATTTCACGTGCTGCACGTGCACGCTCTTGCAAGCACGTGCGCGCAAAATGACCTTCGTTCGGCAACTCTACATAACATGCCTACTAACCCTAAAAAGGTTTCACCTAAGTCAGATATGTTGTTTACAAGATCACTCGTGGACAAAATTTTCCCAGGAAGAAGAAAAATAATAATAAGAATAATAATAATAAGAAACAGAGTAAAAACAATATGTTCCCCAACTTCGTTTGGGGAACATAATTACGTATATACATGTAGTAGCTATTTTATTTTATTTGCCATTGCAGCGAAAATTACAACCAGAGTGCCAAGAAACAGGATTTAAACAAAAGATACTGTGTGATAACAAAGATACATTTTTCCAAAAGTAAGTGATTGTTTTTTTTGTTTTTTTTTTTGTTGCAGGTTATTATACAGCATGTATTATCATACAAAAAATGTTTAATGGATTTTTTTTGTCAGTAAATTTTTATCATGCACAAACATATCATGGTAAAACATATCATTCCATCATAATAATAGAAATTTCATCATTTGACATGATTTGATTAATGACTTTTTATGCTATTAAATAGTATATCTCTTTTTCTTACAGTTGTGAGATTACACCCTATATGGATGAAAGGAATTTCTGGATTTTCCAAGCAGTGTCATGTACAATATTTGCTGTGACATATTCATTGGTTCGAGTGAGACAAAAGAAACTAGATGGACAATTAATGGACAAAATTAATAGACAGATTGCATCTGGTATATGAAAATTATATTTGTTCAAAGTATGTTTCTTATTTATTAAATCTCATGTTTGAAATTTTATTATTTGCATTATATCAGTGTGATTTAAGTCTAATTGCTAAAACATCTACTCAGTATTTTTGAAGAAAAATTTATATATTCAGGTACACTTGGTACCAAATTAAATGCATTTTTATATAAATCTTATTTCATTATACACATGACTTTTCAATTTAATTATTTTGTCCTTTAAAATCATGGTTATATTAAATTTTGAAAACTTAAAATTAAAATTAAAATTTCATTGTGTGTAGTCAAAAGCAAAGCAAGTGTATGAGGCATCTTAACTAGATGCCAAATCGAGGTGGTATCCTTCTTTATTTTCATACTAGTATCTGAACATTAGCCATGACCATTTTGACATGACTTTTAATAAAGACCATGACAAGTTTCAATGTCATCTCAACAACATACTTGAGTTGAGATTTTATAACTGTCATACTGATCAACAACTTGAAAATTAATATACTTTTGAGGGCATTATGAATATGGAGAAATTAGTTGGGAAAATGTGAAATTGTTTACAAACCATATCTTTGATGAAAATGAGTTCAATGAATGTATAGTTTGAAGGTCAAAACTGGGCTACTGCATGATCTCTGCATCATAAAAATGTATCCAGAATACGAATAAAATTCATTTGATTTGATGAATATATTTATTCCAATTACAAGAATAAATAATTATACTATTGTACACGACCTTCAATTTTGGATGCGCTAAATAACGGGCGTTTCGTGAATAACTGTTAATTTTACGTAAAAATTAGCGGTGACTTTAACGGATGCGTTATTTTAAAGATGCTTTGTGAATAAGGTCCCAGGTCAATGTTACTGCATATTAATGTCTAATAGTTGATGTAAATGCATTGTTTTTTTTTTAATAAAAATTTTGAAAAACTATATAGAGTTAACGTAATGCTCTGTCTAGATAGTTTGTCTTATTACAAGTAACTTTTGTAAATTAAGCTTAAACGCCACGAGGAGCGGCGGTTTTAGGAAGCAAAACAAGCTCAATTTCCCTGAGTGCCGAGTAGTGCTCTAAATTTGAAGCTCTCGCCAGTTTATGGCGAAGTCTCTATAGATACGAGTGAAAAAAAATGGAACTGGACGTAAAACAACATAAAGTCATTATAATTGATATCCTCTTGGGACAGCCGTTATTTATTTTTAGCTCTTCTGAGCCAAAGGCTCAAAGAGCTAATGCTATGGCCATTTGTGCGGTGTGCGGTGTGCGTTAACTTTTTAGAATATGGGCCATAACTCAAGAACCCCTTGGCCAATCAGTGTCAAATTTGTCACAGGGTATCCTTGGCCCAAGGGCTACCATTTATACCAAAATAAGGGTTGGGACCCTAAAACAAGGGGAGATAATCAGGAAAACAAAACCAAAAGTACTGGTTGCTAAAAAATCTTCTTCTCCAGAACCACCAGGCAGATTTTCACCAAACTTACATACAAGGATCAGGATATGTTGAAGATTAAAAATTGTTCAAGGCATGACCCTGGGGCAAAGGGCTGGTCTCAAGGTCACTTCAAAGTTGACCTAAATTTACAATTAATAAAAATGTGTATATTTTGCTTACTATGAGGACTAGGATCATCAAATCTTGTAAGTTGATGCATCTTACGACTTCACATCATGTTAACTCAAAAGTAGGTCAAGGTGACCTACTTTTTAAATTTTGCGGGGATTTGTTTTCAAATTGATTTGAAGGCATATTTTGGACACTTTAAGGCCTATGATCATCAAACTTTGTCAGTTGATGTATCTTGGGTCTTCGAACACTGTCAACTTAAAAGTAGGTCACCGTGACCTACTTTTTGAACTATGTGACTTATCCTTTTAAAAACATTAAATCCCATTATTTCAGACACTGTGAGGTTTAGAAACATCAAATCTTGTACTTTGATGCATCTTGGGACTTTAAAACATATTTATGAAAAAGTAGGTCACTGTGACCTACTTTTTGAATTTTGCTGACATTTTTTTTCAAATTGTTTAAATCGCAAATTTTGATTACCTTCAGACCTACAATCATCAAACTTGGTCAGTAGATGCATCTTGGGTCTTTGAAAAATGTCGACCAAAATATAGGTCACGGTGACCTACTTTCGACATTTTATGGCTTTATTTAAGTATCTTAGATATTTATTGGCTTAGAATCATCAAACTTTGAGAGTTGATGCATATTTAGTTTTCGGAGAGTGACGAACCAAAAAGTAGGTCACGGTGACCTACTTTTGACATTTTATGGCTTTATTTAAGTATCTAGAGTACTAATTGGCTTAGAATGATCAAACTTTGTGAGTTGATGCATCTTGGGTTTTCGGAGAGTGACGACCAAAAAGTAGGTCATGGTGACCTTCTTTTGACCTTTTGTGACTAAAATTAAGTATCTCTGGTACTTATTGATCTAAAATGATCAAATTTTGTCAGTTGATGCATCTTGGGTCTTCAGAGATTGTCGACCAAAAATTAGGTCACAGTGACCTACTTTTGACATTTTATGGCTATATTTTAGTATCTCAGGCACTTATTGGCTAAGAATCATCAAACTTTGTCAGTTGAGGCATCTTGGGTTTTCGGAGAATGTCGACCAAAAAGTAGGTCACGGTGACCTACTTTTGAATATCTCAGGTATGTATTAGCTTAGAATCATCAAACTTGGTCAGTTGAGGCACCTTAGGTTTTCGGTGAACGTCGACTAAAAAGTAGGTCACTGTGACCTACTTTTGACATTTTATGGCTATATTTAATTATATCTGGTACTTATTGGCTCGGAATTATCAAACTTTGTCAGTTGAGGCATCTTAGGGTTTCATTGAATGTCCAACAAGAAGTAGGTCACGGTGACCTAATTTTGAATATCTCGGGTACTTACTGGCTTAGAATCTTCAAATTTTGCCAGTTTAGGCATTTTTGGTTTTTGAATAACGTCGACCAAAAAGTAGGTCACCGTGATCTACTTTTGACATTTGATGGCTATATTTAATTATCTCTGGTACTAATTGGCTTAGAATCGTCAAACTTTGTCAGATGATGTATCTTGGGTTTACAGAGAATGTTGACCAAAAAGTAAGTCATGGTGACCTACTTTTGAATATCTCAGGTACTTATTTAATTAGAATCATCAGTCTTTGTCAATTTATGTATCTTGAGTCCTCAGAAAATTTCAATCAAAAGGTAGGTCACTGTGACCTACTTATGGTATTTTATAATTATAATATCTTCAGTCTTAACTTGCTAAATATTATCAAACTTTGTAAGTTGATGCATTTTGGGTCTTATGATACTAATAGAGTTGGAGGCTTCTAATAGAAGTGATAGATTGTACAATTTATCAGAAGAGCGATTCAAGGCCCTTGGGCCTCTTGTATAATGATTTTATTCCCTTTTATCAAATAGAGCTCTATGCAAGTTTGGGTGAACTTCACTTCGTAGTTCTTAAGAAATAAAATTATATTTGTAGAATATTTGCATAAATTCATTTCAACTGCTAAACATTAATGTAAAAAAAATAGATGCAAAGACATGTTTGCATTCTACTTCTTTTTTTTTTTTTTTAATATTTTATTGATCACCCAGTTTAAATGGCCAAGGGACCATTGGATACTATACAACCAATCACCATGATGGCATAAATTTGATAAGAGGTTCGCGTCTTTCTTGTAAATGCCTGCTTTTGTAACTGATAACTCACAAGTTGTTTGATTAAACTCATTTTATCGCAATTTCAAACAAGAAATTGCTCTTATCCAGATTTTTTTTTACCATCCATGACTTAGATTTACCCCTATTCCTAATGGGACAAACAACCAAAAAAACTGAACTAACGTTTTTTTTTATTCATTTGGCATTCTCAACGGAGGGAAAAAATACTTTTGTACATGACTATGAATATTCTGAGCGTTTTGTTTTAAAACATGACATGTGATCACATTAAAAAAATGTTCCTCTTTCCCGTTCTTTGCGAAAAGGCATCATGGTTTTAGTAAAGATGATTCATAGTATATCTAAATGTAGCAAGATGTGTTTGTGAAACACTGATAACCCGTATGACAACATAGCGAAGGTTTTTAAATTTTCTCAAATGCAAATCAAACATGTTGATACCCAAAGTAAGGCCTTCTCACAAGAAATATAAATGTGAAATATAAAACCCTAGCACCACCTTTTCAAAATTTTTGGACAAGGTTAACGCTTTTTAAAGGTATGTCAAACTCGGGGTCAAGGTCAAAGGGCCAAGGTCGTTGGTTTCTAAAGAAAGGCCTTGTCACAAGGATTACATATGTGAAGTATGAAAGCCCTAGCCCTTACCGTTCAAAGTTATGGACAAGATTAAAGTTTTTGAAAAGTACACCAATCTCCGAGGTTAAAGGGTCAACATTGTTGGTATCCAATGGAAGGTCTTGTGACAAAGAATACACATGTGAAGTATGAAAGTCCTAGCACCAACCGTTCAAAAGTTATGGCCAAGGTTAAAGTTTTTGAAAAATAGGTCAAAGGGTCAAAGTTGTTGGAATTAAATGAAAGGTCTTGTCACAAGAATACATATGTGAAGTATGAAAGCCCTAGCCCATAATGTTCAAAAGTTATGGCCAAGGTTAAAGCTATTTTCAAATATAGGCCAAAGTTGTTGGTATCCGATGGAAGGTCTTGTGACAAAGAATACATTTGTGAAGCATGAAAGTCCTAGAACCAACCGTTCAAAAGTTATGGCCAAAGTAAAAGTTTGGAATTTGTTGTAAAAGTGACGTGTTTCAAACTCCAAGATCAAGGGGTCAAATTTTGGTGGTACCCAAAGAAAGGTCTTGTCACCAGGAATACACCCGTGAATCATGAAAGCCACAGTCCCTCTCAGTCAAAAGGTACGGGCAAGTTTAAAGTTTTTGCGGACAAACAGACAGACGGACGGACAGGGCAAAAACTATATACCCCCGAAACTTCGTTTAAGGGGGCATAAAATACATCAACAATTAACCTTAAAGATAGACAACTTGACACAGGAATATATATTACTGAGTATATGTATGCATAGATATCAAGGTAAGTGGAAAAATATTTCGGTTATTTCCCGATAAAGAGAAAAGCACTTTTAATAGTTTAAGACGTCAATGACCCCCTTAAATATACCCGAAAGACGCTATTGGCTTACACCTTAGTTTGGTTATAGACTTGCTAAAAATATACACATGACCTAAAATTTAAGCCAATAGTAAGGCGGGTTTAAATCAAAACAAGGAAGTAAACGGGGGCTTAACAATTTGTTCATCTACATGCATGGAGGCAAGGTGCTCTACATTCTAAAGACTCACGTGAGGTAAAATTATTTTGCATACATTTAACAATTTTAAAAGTCGTTTTTAAAATTAATTCGTTATATTTTCTGTATTGAAAAATTGCATGGATAATTGAAAGAGAATTGTTGCTAAGCTGAATTAGATAGACATTCTTTTTAAAAAAAACAAATGCTGACATGTATGTTTATTACATGGTACAATACCTAACATTGCCTTATATGTATGGCTCTATGAAAGTACAACTACAAAGTTTTAATTTTAAAGGGTCTGATTTAAAAAAAAACCTCTGAACGTAAAACTTGAAATCCTTTATTTTCTTCCTTACCTGAGGATAACAATCGGTTTTTATGTAAAAATTCTCTGGTTAAAGTGTGTTTTTCCTTTTTTTTTTTTCGAAACCTATTAACATTCCTTGGTGAATGTGAAGAGGAAGGAAGTGCTTATTCATTAATTCAAAAAAGGTTGCTTTTCATCACATGCAATTGAATAGTTCTATGATGTGTCACACAATCGTATAAAACCGTACATGATTTGACATGTAAAGTTTCTGAACATAGTGAAAGTTAATGCATAGATGTAAACACTGTGATGATATTTGCAGTATCAAAAGCCAAGTTGTTTTAAACAAAGACACTTGACCTTACTTACGTTTCTTTTATTTATAAAAAATATAAATATACAACCATCTAACAATTCACGTGAATTATTAAGTATAGGGGGATATTTTAATTATATATTTAAAGAAAAGTTATAAACGTCTGGTGCCTGTAGTTTTAAAGTATAAAATCAAGAACATACATGTACTAATTATATTTATATATATATTTTAGGTGATGATGAAAATGGCAGATCATCTTTATATTATTTACATCATCAGCACACTGTTTGTTCCCATAGTAAACTCAAATCCGTGTGACCCTTGCCAGTCAACAAATGTTATTGATCTCTCGGGTTGTAATTTCTACACCTTATCTGAGGCAATTAACAAATCATGCAGTGCCGCCAGAAGTGCACAAACTCTGAATTTAAACGGAAATTTCATCACAAACATTTCGAGCAGTGACTTGAAAATGCCGGATAGCACTAGCTATTTCTGGCAGCTCAGTACTATTAATATAAGTAATAATTCAATTCATCATATCGCTGAAGACGCTTTCTCTGCATTATTCGTTCTGGAACATTTAGACCTTTCGAACAATAAGATGAAAGAAATAGACAATGGGATTTTGCAAAATAAACCTGCATTAAGGACTGTTGATTTTTCGTACAATCATATAGATTTTATTGGACCACATGTGTTTACTACATACCACTACGCTCTTAAGGAGGTTTACCTTACACATAACAAACTTGTGTCCATGGAACCGTGGCCATATATACCACCAACTCTGAGAAAATTTGATGTTTCTTACAACCTCATCGTAAACTTTACTAACAGAATGAACTGGACATACAACTTGGAAGAACCTTACCACGCAAGCGCAGATCTACGCCACAACCAGTTTACACTTTGGGATGATGGCTTCTTTCAACAATACAATCTTAAAAGTAAAGATTTTTACACCGACTTTGTAACATATAACGTAGACTTGCGAGATAATCCGTGGTTTTGTGACTGTAAACTTTATAATTTTTCAAGGAGATACCAGAATTCATTCTTTAAACATGCAGATTCAAATTTGATCGAAGTTAAATGCGAAAGTCCACCAAATTTAAAAGGGAAATCTTTTGTCGAGGATGTTGATTTGAGCGATTTGATTTGTAACGTCACCAAAGACTGCCCACAAAACTGTTTATGTCAGGACAAGCCAGATGATAATATGTTTCATGTCAATTGTAATAATGGACGCCATACAAGTTTACCAAATCAATTACCGGAAAACAGATACAAAAGACTTAAATTGGAAATGAATAATAATAATGTCAAGACATTATCTAGTAGAAATTATACATCTTTTGTCACTGAACTCTCCATGTCCGGAAATGGACTTCAGGTGGTTGAGAGTGGAGCGATAGGAGAAATGAAAGATCTGAAATATTTGAATCTGGAAAGCAATCAATTGCAGAGCATTCCAGAAAACATTCAGTATCTCATTCGATATGAAGAAACAGAATTAAGTCATAATCCTTTCAAATGTACATGTGATATGGTTTGGATGGCAGAATGGATTAATTTTGCCCCCGAAGACAATCCAAATCGTGATATACAATGTACTTATGAAAAAGACGACGTTTACAAGATTCGTGAAGTAACAGAAAGGTTGCTCAACTGCACGTATGATGTTGCTATAGGACTGACAATCGGCTTTGCAATTTTGCTTACATTAGTTATTGTTGCAGTTATCTGGGCTAAACGATGTCCTTATGAAACCAAAGTTATCCTATACAGGTTTTTTCGATATCATCCATGGGACAAGTACCGCGTGGATAGAGAATTGGTCGCAGAATATGACGCATATGTGTCATTCGATGACAATAATATCCACATTCGCCAGTGGGTGCTTCGAAAATTTGTGAAACGACTTGAAGAAGAAAAACCCTGCTACAAGTTCTTTGTGCCCATCAGAAACCTGATTCCCGGGGAAGATAAAGCAGACGGCATCATAAACAATATGGAGAAAAGCAAAAGAGTGATAATTATTCTCTCCGACAAATATGACGAAAACGAGTGGTGTAAATTCGAGTGCCAGAGAGCCGAAATTCTGGAATTGAACAATGGAAGAATCATCTTCATAAAATATCACCCGGAAGCCGATGATATGATAGAAAACGAACCTTGGAAGTCTCGAGTGAAAGGTCGGAAGGTGTTTTCCCCAGGGGAGAAGAAAAGTGAGCGCAGATGGTTCTGGGGGAAAATTAAATACGAGTTACCTACACGATAAATTAATATCATAAGTGCACTTTCATTTTGTACATAAAAAGCGGTTTCATCAGTGTTTCACATTATACTCATTGAAATCCGTCCCATTAATACAAAATGTTTCTGATGCTATAAAACACTGTTAAACATGATTTTATTTTGTTGCCTTGTATTTTATGCACAGTGTTTTTTTGTAAGTCCTACATGCTTTGATACTTTAAGCGTAACTGCCAGTTTTCATGTATGAGATACTTTTGAATGATGTTTCCTTTCAAAACGTTCTCAAGGCCAAGATCTGGTCAATAAGTTTTTATATTTATTTTTTAATGCTTAAACATTTTATGACGTCATAATTTAAACTAGCTTTTTTCCACACTTTATTGTAGATAAAGATTTCATGATGGATCAAATTATGTAGAAATATAGTATTTCCAAGAAATTTAATATCAGTTCTCGAAACGTGGAAGTACATGTAGGTCCAATATCTTTGTTTAATTTAATTACTATTTGAAACAGTGAGTCAGACTCAATATTGGAAGCCTGGAGGAAAAAAATGTTATTTCAGATATTATTAAAGCTGATTGACATAAGTCTTTAACGCAATTCTTATTGATGTAGATAAATGTTATTTATATCCAGTTATAAAATAACGACCATATTTGACAATGCATGGCTC